ATATGGGTTAACTACTCACTAATTAGAAATGGAACCATAATTCTAATAGTTTCTTGCAAGGCTACATATCCAATTGAAGCATGGAGTTCGGAAGCAATTTTAAGTTAACAAAGCAATCCTCTTTCTTCATTTCAAAATATTTATATGGCAGAAAATGTCAGAAGGCTACAAATTAGAGGCTCTATGCTCAATTTTAGGACTGACAGCTCTCCTAGGATGACACGTTCTGATTTAATAGATTATATTTTCATAACAGTTTCATGCATGAAAACCTACATGCTCCTATCACTATACTTAATATATGAAGTTCATGTTATTTATTTTGATTTTTTTGGGCCCTTTGGGTAGGATGGGTTAGTTGCTTGGCTGTCCAAAAAAGAAAAAAGTGAAAGGAAAAGATTGAACTGTTTGTTGAAAGAGGCAAGGTGCTAATGAAAACTTCATGTATTTTTTGTTTTTTCCACTTCTTCAATTGGTTGAATAAATCCAGAAACTCCTTGATGATGAATCAATGCCTTTATGAAATACAGATGTTGATCTTAATCCATAAGTCATACCATCTGTAAATGGATCAATTAGCATTTGATGTACAGACATGATCATAACAGATACTTTCTAAGTTGACAAGTATTAGAAAGTTTTGTTGTTGGGATCCTTTAATTATTGATATCTTATATGGCTTGAAGCTTCTACGGAACTCATTTAATTTTGTTTCCTAGAATACCGTTGTGAAAGAAGAACCTGGATCATCGAATGCATCGGGCTCTAGCTCATCAAAGGAGCAGCCCAGTGAACAGGTTTCAGGTTTGTTGTTTGAGAGACATGTCTTTTTCCTATCCTGGGGTGTCTGATTTAGTTTATGACAAATTAACTGAAGCAGTAGTTTGCTTATTGCACTATCAGAGGTGTTTTTATGTGTTTTGTTAAACTTAATGTATTGATATTCATCAATATGTTTTCGACTATAATTGCATGACATTGTCACATGAAAGTATATCACGCCCCAGAAGTAGTAGACAGTGGAAGCTTCTATGACGTGAGAAAAATGAGCAACAATGGAACTCTGTTTGGAATGAACCATGTAATATTTTCATTTGCGACCAACAAGTGATGTTCAAATTGGCTAATTTGATAAATTTGTCAGACTGTTCATAGGAAATTGTAGATCGAAGTTATCAAATGACATTTTTCTTAACGTACAAGACTTTCCTAATGCTCTCTTAACGTTTAACTCTCTGAAGAAAAGTATAGTTGTTAGTTTTCTGGAACATCAGTGGTTGATGAGTTTCTAAAAGACAAGAAAACAAATGCTTGATGAGATGATTTGGTATAGTTGATTTATTTAACTGATAGCCATTGTATGACCTTTTAAGTGGTCATCAATGACTGCTTCTTCAAGCATCATTAAGAGATTTCCCATACAAGTTTATCAGCTTAATTAAAAATATTGCTTTTGGAGATACTAAAATACAGAAAACTCTTAGCAAGGTCAATCAGTTATTACGAATCAGTGATCTACCAATGGATAATTGGATATCCTGTACAGCTCATTTGTTTGTGTCATCAACTTCAGCAAATGATGAATCACCTGCTGGCACACAATCTTGGACTTTGTGTTATCCGTCTATATCATAAGGCTTCAAATGTTCCACGCAGAGAAACATATGATTTTCATGGATAACCAACAGTCCGCAAGTGGATCTGAAGTTGGCAGACACGTTTCGGGAGTTTACTTGTCTCGGTTCTGTTTTGGAGTAGTTTTGTTTAACCAATTGGTTTTCATCTCTTGAAGAATTTTGTAAGATACTTATGGCTACTGGCTTGTTGGTTATGGTTTTCATTGACTTCATTTTGCAGGGCCTCCTATCAAGCGCAGAAAGCGGCACAGGAGAAAGAATTCACATAATCAAGAAGCATGTCCCATGAGAGGCGTCTATTTCAAAAACATGAAATGGCAAGCAGCTATAAAGGTGGATAAGAAACAGATCCACCTGGGGACTGTTAGTTCCCAGGAAGAGGCTGCTCACTTGTATGACAGGTAGTACCTTGAGTTGTAGGTTTTTGCTACCTACAATGGCCTCCTAAGTAGCTCTTTCCCAAGTCATCCTGAGAATATTCATATCTTCTGCTTCTGTTTGGTTATCTGCTAGCAGCAGACCTACTCATACTCACATTGACTGACACTGAAAATGTCTTATTTAAATTCTTAACAGCCACATGTCATGTCTTTCTTTGAGATTTTTTTTTCTTCCTTTGATTAACCATTTTCTGATGAAATTGCTTGATATATTGGGAAGTTTACTTGATTATCTCTGTCTGTGTATGAGCTTGTATGGTATTATATTCAATCTTCATCAGAGTTTCTCCTTCTCCCTCATTTCTGATTGGCAGGGATGTATATGTAAAGTATTACATATCGTAACGCGAGTATATCATTTTCTATGATGCACTGTCATTTCTATATGGCCACCAATCCTGCATCAACTTTCCTTCGGTCAATCACAAAGACCATTAAACTAGCTGCCATATAAGTATGTTAGATCCTCATTAAGAAAGACATTGTTGGAGGTTTAAAATTTTTAGAGAAAGGTGTGAAATCTAGAAGCCGAAAAATGTTATCCTTTGGATTGTAATAGAATTTCATCTTTCCATACCATGATCTCTGTGTTTAGCATATGTGCATTGCTTATTTGTTGTCAGGGCTGCTTTCATGTGCGGGAGGGAGCCGAACTTTGAGCTTCCAGAAGAAGAGAAGCGAGAACTGCGTGAATTTAAATGGGAAGAATTTCTTGCCATGACGAGGCAGGCAATAACCTGTAAAAGTATTCTTCCTCTTCTAAAATTTTCATGGATAAATTACTTTGATGGTGTTTATGGTTTCACATATTTATTATTTAATCCTTGTTGTTTAAAAATTTATCTCTAGGTCCTATAATTTAGATGTCTGTCAGTGTGGCATTAACAATAAATAGGAAAAGCTTAAAAAAAAAAAAAAGAATCCAGAGTATCTAAGTTAGGCTCACTAACCATCTTGACAGTCTATAATATTTACAAACCATACATACTAGTGGATTTCATTATCATCTACTTTTATACATTTTGTTGACATAAATCGCACATGTTAAGAGTGAAAAGATGACAATTGGTCTGACCGTGTTTGTAAAACTCATGGTGCATCTTCTAAATAACGATAGGGCTGAACAACATGAAATTTAAGCATGACTTCCATTTTCTTGCATTTTAATTGCTGTTCTATGCAAAATATTCTAGAACACAAGAGAAGAGTTGGCCCTGGCTCACGCAGGTCGGAGCTGCCACCGGTGCAGAAATATGAATGGGACAGTAAGCAAGGAGCAAGTGGATCCTCTGCTTGTGAAGATGCAGAGCAGGAAGTATCAGTCTCTTGAAAATTAAGACTGAGCAAAGATGAAGCCCTAGTTCTAACAGTTCCATTTTAGTAGCTAGTTCCATTTTCATATATAGAAAAACATTATGTTATATTAGGCCAGATTTTGATAGAATTCATTGTCCCTAAGATAGTAGATTACTATAGCTCAACTTAATAAAAGGGTAACAAGGAAGCACAAAATATTATTAACAAATACATGACATGTGGACATATTTGATGCTACTGAAGCGTCTTGTTGTGTTGTATCTAATTCAGGTGATAACTACGATATGGTTCCATTTTTTTAAGGATTGGTTGGTGTTTACTGTTTCTGCCTTTGCATTTGATGTAGTGCAGGGCTGTCTTTGTTCCAACATGGCCATGAACGTGTATTGTTCCTGAAGAAAAATGTTTCGTAGCAATTAGTTACGAAGCTTACGTTAAACTTGTGTGTATTTCCAATGCACTTGAACTTCTTTTGATGCACTGATTACTGGATCTGTTGATGGAATGATGTAAATGAACAAGTTGGTGTTTTGGGAGAACATCAAAACTTTTCAAAGCATTCACATCACTTTTTTCCCCATGGTTTTCAGAGAAATATAGTCTGCACGTTTCAGCCTTTGGCATATTTGAGCATTACAAGGGATTGAATTTGTGACTGTTTGTACATTATTATTTTCAAGTTTTCTAAATTATCTCAGTGCCTATATTTTTGAGTACTATAATATCGTGCAATTTATATAGCCGGTTCTAACTAATGAGATAATGTTTCTTCTTGTTATATAGTTCTTTAGTTGAAAGATCTCATGACTTGTGAAGATTCTTATGTTTCAGCTTCCTATTTCTCTTAATTTATCATTAAATTAAATTATGGGCTTATGCTAGGTGCACTATTCATAATTTATGACTAGAGCTGTTTTCTATTATATATTACTCTTTAAGATAATAAGACATCGTATTGATTATAAAATTTTAAAATATAAATAGTGTGACTCATTTTTTTATTACTTATAAGTATTTTTATATGAGGTAATTTTATTTGAGATACAGTGCCGGCTCATTTTAAATATATATAGATTTCACTAGTAGTTTTTATAAATTACTACTATTAAATTTTAAATTCTTTAAGCCCAAAAAACAAAATGACATTTTTTTCCCTTACACCCTTCATTAATCAAATATAGTTAAATATAAAATTCTAATTGGATGTGAAAATAGTATATGATACATGAAGAATCATATGTAGTTAAATCTAAAAAAAAATATATTAAGTGATTTACAAGTTATTAACGATATAAATCATTTTTCTTTCCTTGTCATAATAAAAGAAAAAGAGTCATTTATAACTAGCTAATTGTTTTTTTTTGGGTCCCACTAGCTAATTATATATTAATATACTCGAGATAACAAGAAAAGCTTATCAATAAAAAAAAAATGACCCAAATGTAATATGTATCAAGCAAAAAAAAAAAAAAACCGAATATGCCTATCTCTGTAGACTCGGACGATTTTTCTTTTTCTGTTTGGGCTAGCCTGATCCATGATCTTGCCCAAGGACGAATCATTCTGAATCCAGTTCACTCTTTTGGCCCATCTACTTGGACTGTGTTTTCACCGGAATCACTGCACGCCGCGTCCGCCTCAGCACGGTGTTTTTGCTGCTTCTGAAGCTCTGGTGCTGCATTTTGGCGACCGTCCACAACAATAGTAGTGGCTTGTGGGTCTGGCGGCAAAATCAGCTGATTATAAGAAGTCAAGAGTGTTGTTTTTGAGTTATAGGAGTCTGTAAGAACGAAGAAAATGGCTGGTGAGGATCGAGTAGCCCCAAATGGACTAGATGCATCTTCTTCGCCTTCGTCGGTTTCATCGTCTTATGATTGGAAGAAGCGCGTTTTTATCCCGGCACTTTTAGCAGGTGCTCTGTTTATTTTTTCTTCTGATTGTTTCTAAGATCACGATTTTGTTGGGTTCTTTACCTCCTACTCGGATTCGATTATTGTTTACGTTAATTTTTTGTCCGGAGAAGCAGTTTTTAATGGTTCGAGTTCAGGGCTGGATTTTTCCCCTTATTTTTGTATTTGAGTTTTATTGAGGCAATGAGATTATTTGTTTATGTTGTCGCGGATTTGTTACCATTTTGGATCTTCTGAGAGCAGGGGTTGTTGGTTCTGGAGCTGGCTTGTTTTCGAAGCATCGGACAACTCTCGGTCTTGCGAATGTTACTGCTAGTTATGCAGCTAACTTTGCCATTGTCACTGGTTGCTATTGTGGTAAGTTCTTGAATTTGTGTCTCTGTGCGTGATTACTCATTTATTGTTAAATCTTGAGCTTGTAAGGCTTTTAAGCCATGTTGTCCTGGTGGTTTTGACCATGTTGTTTGGGTATGTTAGGCTGTTAGCTTGTTTTATTTTGATGTCTGCTTAATTGATCTTTACTGTTTGGAAGGAGATTTTCTCCGTTTGTTAAGCTTCCCATGAGTGAATTTAAATTAAGAATCTGGAGTCAGTCAATTATTAATTGTCACTCTTTCACATGCTACCCAGAGAATTGAAAGATGGTACATTGTCTTGAGAGGATGCCACCAACTGATCAAAGTCAACAAACAACCCTTTTGAAGAGCTCATATCTACCATTACCATCTTAGGTGGTTCCTGTGAAATGATGTCCTTGTGTCTAGTGTGTGCTGGAGGCATTCCAATATGGAGGGTGACCCTTGTGTTCTTGTAGTCTTTAAATCCATTTTCCCTGGTATCTCCATCTTTATAATTCTTAATTGTCCTTGTGGAAACGCTTTAATGAATAGATACGTAGGATTTTGGAAAAGAAAATAACATCTTGTCAAACAAATGAAGCACGCCTTCCTGATTATAGGGGAGGATTTTTTTTAGGTGTCTCTGTATATTATATAAGTGAGCAAAGAACCAAGAACATGTTTGCTATGCATTTCTGCCAGCAATTGCCCATCCTATCAAACCCATTCCACCACCATCCCTTTCCTATCTGTTGCTCCCCACCCTCCTCATAAAATTTCTTGGCTCTTTGTTCAGCTCTATGCCAGGGAAAATATGAGTATTAATTGAAGATAAAAGACTGTATTATCGCTAATTGTTGTTGGATTTGAGAGGGAAAAACATTGGTCTTATATTTAAATTGTCAATTCCAAGGTGAAAATTCATTATATGTAAAGTGCATCTTGCAAATGAGTATCAAGAAAAGTAGAATGTTGAAAACAATATTTTATCTTTGGATGACAAGTTGATACTCTGAATTGAACTGGAATGAATTATCTAATTGGTCAGGGGCACGTGAATTTGTTACTGCAACTAGAAAAACTGGACCTGATGACCTATGGAACTCTGTAATAGCTGGATTTGGAACTGGTGCTCTTCTAGGGCGTCTGCAAGGTTCAATTTCTGCTACTCTCCCTCTCTTATATATTGATGAGAATTCAACTTTTTCTTCTTCCTTCACACATAATTTTTTTATATTAGCTATTTACTGCAACCCAGCTTTATCATATATATATATATATATATATATATATGTTTTGGACCGTGTACTAGCTCATATGAGGCAATTTAGACTGAGACAAAGCCTTGTACACTAAGATCCATGGTTTCCCTTTTCTTTTCATGTTGAACGTTGTCGTGATTCTGTTTTAGAAAGTTGTGTCTTTTTTCCTTTTCTTTGTGTATTTTTCGTTTTCCTGATGATTCCTCAATTGCCATATAGTTTGGCAATAGTAAATAGTTGAGCATATATATTTTTGGATAATTTTTATTGATAATGTTCTAGTATAAAATTACAAAATTGCATTACCTGGTGCAAAAATGCATATTCATATGCTATCATTGCTTGCATCTGGTTTGCCACAAGACTACCATCCTTCATGGATATACCAATTCCAATCTTCTGCCATCACAAATATAATTGCTTATGGCGTCTTTGGAGAGAGATGAGGAAAAAGAGAGAATCAGTATAAATAGAAAAAGGGAATATCATAATGCCAATACTCTGCTGGCTACTCCGTGCCTCTCTGGTTCACTACAATAGTTTAAACTGCAGAGGGCATAGGTTTTGGCGCTGGTACCTAAAGGGGGGGGGGAATTCTTTTGTACCAATTTCTTTCTGAACATATGACTGCATGAATGTCTTTCAAGCATGAAGTTATGGATAATTTCCGTATAATGTGTGATTAAAGAGATTTTTTTTTTGGGGGAGATTTTAGGAGGTCAACGTGGTGCAGCTAAATACTCAGCCATCTTTGCCATTGCGGGTACCACAGCAGATTTTGCTTTTCTGAAGCTGAAATCTGTGTTGAGGGACTACAATAAATCTGTATGTCAGGAAGATGAGAATTCACAGAAGACTAGCAGTAGCAGCTGGTTAAGATTGCCAGAGTGGTTCCCAATCCGAGTGCTTGATGAGGAAGCCCTTGCTGCAAAACGGGCTCAGGAAGAGAAGTTCCTTGCGCAGCAAGCTAGAATCCGAAATCTAAGAAAAGAAGAATCATGAGAACTGCAAATTTTGAGTGAGGATGTAAAAGTTCTTGGATTAGGAAATAAAAGGATTTCCGGCCTTCTTCCCAAGCTGCTTGGCAATGGCTTCAACAGAGATTTTGAAAGTATTTGCTACTTGGAAATTGATTTCCAGACTCATGATCCATCTGCTAGGCATTCAAATCAAAAGGGATTTTTTATAAAACAAATTTCAAATACAAGAGCAGATATGTAATTATTATTTTTTGTGTGCAAAACATTATCAGGATAGATAGATAATTTCAGGTTTGATAATTTAAGTCCAATTGCAAGGATAAATGATAAGGAGTAAATGTTTATAAATATAGAAAAACAATGGTAACAAATTATATTATCACAGTTTAGACTTCACACGGCGTTGAGGGGGCCACGTGATCTAATAATTACGAACTATGCCATTGGAATTGGAAAATAAGGGTCATTCGAAGAGGTTCATGATGTGGACGTGATGAGGTGGGAAGGGTGAGCATGTGGAATCAATATACCAAGCTCATTTACCAATTAAAGTTAATATTAGTTGGGGATTGAGTTTCAATCCTTATGTATATAATAATTTATTTAAGAGATGTCTGTTTATTACTTTCATTATGTAGTAGAGATATTATCTGCTATTAGTGAAATTTACTTCTTATATTTATAAAAATCCATATATTGAACTCACTTTACTAAAAAAAAAAAATTATCTAGCTCGATAACAATGGAATTATTATAAATTATATAATGGTCTATTATATAAATTAAAAGTTGAAATAATTGGAATTGTAAAATTGAATTACGGCGTGTACCAGATGTTTGAGACATGCTTTTCTTCCAAGGTTCCAGTACAACCACGATTTCTGTATGATGCAACAGATCAAGTTTTTCTCGTGTGGTAGCATTAAAAATAATCCTTTTTTTTTTTTTTGGATACAACGGAAATGCTATAATCCTTTTATTTGTGTAGTTCCAATACAACCACAATTTCCGCATGTTATTAGTTTGCTGCTTTTTTTTTATTTCATTTAATTTTTTAAATAGGAAAAATGACATAGAGGGACCGTGAATTGAGGGTACTTAACTAATTATTTTGAAATATCTAAATTCTGTGTTTACAGAAATTTTTTTGAGCAATTACCATAATAACCATATTAAAAAAGAATCTCATCACCACTTATTGTAAGAGCTTTGAGAAAAATTATTGATCCTTGAAGCTGAATGATTATAGTGATTAAGACAATGATTATGATGACTATTTTATTTCAACGGATAACAAAAAGTGCTTAGTCAATTATAATTAATTTTTTAAAAAATTATTTCTGGTAAAAAAAATTAAAAATTATTTTATCAGTCAACAAATTTATTGATCCCCAGAGCTGAATAACAATAATAACAAAAAAACACTTACTGCTTTAAGTAACGTATCAGTGTCCAGTTTAACAGTTTTTGCATTTTGGCGCCAGATGATCATCTTCTTGATCCAACGTCTACAAGCCAGGCCGGGGCACGCATAAGCTGCTACCGGTTCAGAATCCTCCCTCCGTCAGCTCAGAAATCCTGTTTCGAGACTAGGTTTTCCTCTCTTTCTTCCTCTCTTTTCTTTTCTTTTCTTTTTTCCCCTTCATTCCCCCTCTCAAAATCTTGTTTCTTGTTTTCGTTTTCATCTCCGATCCCCGCAATTTTGTTACGTTTCGCTAGGGTTTTGAGTGTTGTATGACTATGATATTCACAGTAATTAGTAAAGAATGAAAGAAACTTGTGTAGATTCCCTTTTGAAGGCTGTGGTAGCAATAATCTGTTACTTAACCCAAGTGATCATTGAGAATTTAGTTTACTCAAGAGTCTCGTTCCAGTGGATTCGTAATTTTGAATCATATTCAGGTGTCAAGACTAATGGCAGATAGAGAAATGGACCGTGAGCAGGTGCTTCTGTGGTTGATAACGTCCCTCATTTACTGTAAAGTAACCCTTTTAGTACATTACATGGCTCCAATCCACCCTCCTTGGTTTGTGAGTACTCTTTTATTTTTTTTTTAATCTAATTTCTTTATTTAGAAGCTATTCTGCATAATACTCACGGTGCCTTGTTTACTCTCTCTGTCCAGCTAGCTACTGGGTTTGTTATGCTTTTTGGATGGTTTGTTCTGTATTTGAAGCTGGCATTTTCCAACCCATCTTCTAGTGGCCCTGCCGTCGAAGCGGGTAATTTGTTTCTTTTTTCTTTCACTAGAAAATTCTATATTATTGATTCATAATTTGATTTTCGCATGTATAGAGGTTTTTGTATATTTTAAAGAAAATCATGGTTTTAGATTCATTATTTATTTTGGCATGAAATATAGGTATTTAGTTATTTGTCAAGAAAACCATAGTTTTAGTTTATAATTAGTTTTGATATGTAAAAGAGGTATTTATATATATTTCCACAAACACATGGTTTTACTTGATTTTTATTTTTTTTTCAATTTTATTCAAAATCAATCTTATAATTCAATTTTCCAAATCAAACACACACACAAGTTAGTTTTCCAACTCAAACCCAAATACACCCTTAATATTTCTCCCTCAGCATTGCAAATGAGTTTAGAAACTGGATAGAGTCATGCGCCTTAGAGTTGAAAAAACTTTGGTGATCTAACGATTTATCTGGATTAATCACATGGTCGTGAGTGCATCGTTCTATAGTTTAAAACTTGGTTGAATCCAAAAGCTCTCAGTTTCAGGCAAGGCCATTTTCCATTCCCTATGAGGCATTGTAGAGGCAGGGCATTGTGCGAGTGAATCCATTTACTGATCTTTTTACCTATCTGTCTTGGTTGAGAGAGAGAAAGAATTTTTTTTACTTCTTCAACTCTAAATTTTCACTTCAAATGTTTGTTTCAGTTGTTGGTATGAAGGCCTGTTTCTCCATTTCAGAGCATTGATATGTAGAAAATATAATCAGATACAATAAGACACTTAAAATTGCCCTTAAAAATTTCAGAGCATTGATGTGTAGAAAATATAATCAGTAAGACACTTCAAATTGCCCTTAAAATAACCATGATGTATTTTGTTGCATTGCGATGTTTGTGTCTGTTCTGTTTGTATTCTGATCTATATCAACTAATTGTTGTGAATTTCCGCTCGTAAAGTTGGAATCTCCATGCTTCTCAAAGTGGCTTAAAATTCAATCTGTTGATGTATAAACTTCCTTTGAAAAGTCTTCAATATTGTGACTTTTAAGTTTTAATGCAGAATGTCTGCTTCTTTGGCTTTTCTAGGACATGACGGAGGCCAAGAGCTATCTGAGGAAAAGAAAAGGAATTGATGCCAATGATTGCGACGCATCTCATGAACTCTCTGGAAAATTTTCAGGATTTGGAACATTTGATACTAATGCAAATGATAGGAAGAGGTGAACTGTGAGTTGCGATTACTATTCAAACTTTCTGATTGAAACCCCCCCCCCCCCCCAAAAAAAAAAAAAAAAAGATATCACGTTTTGGCTGATGACAATTTCCTGATAAAGAGTTGTACAGAATGCTGACGATTTTACGTATGGGTATTTTGGCTTGGAAAGCTTTATGCCTTTGCCGTCAATCTGGTTTAGATTTTTTGGCCAAATAAATTGGTTGAGAATACCGAATACGGGCCAGTATTTTTAGAATTTTATTCTAATTTATAATATTAAAGTTAACCAAAAAAAAAAAAAAGATTCAAAGCACATTTAACAGGAATAGTTAAAAGAAAGTTCTTGTCTTGAAAAATAGAGCTTCCCACAGTATCACGGTTTATTTATTCTACACAAAGATTAACTTTAACAGGACATGCTAAGAATTTTGGCTTCTGTTCATTAACTTTTGTTTTTTTGGTACAGTGTGCTGTACATTAACTTTGAACCGGATGTATGAACGAATTAATGTTTCTCCTTCAATCAAGTTGGTATGGACATGTGAAGTTTGGGAATTATTCACTCTGTCAATAAAAATAAAATATTTTTATGAAGTTAGATGTTTAAAAATATGAAATATTTTTTATTTTTTAATGGATGATTAAAAAGTTTTTTTAAAAATACTTTTTAATAAATAAACTAATTAAGCTTTCATTTTTAAGTGAGACAATTTATTAAATAAAGATATATTTAAATATCATTAACTAACTTATTAAGAAATATAATTTAATTAAAAATGTTTTATATCTTTAAATAAAAGGAGGAGTACTGGGCATGTGGATCATAGGCATTAAGTTTTGACATAAACTATGTTGTATCACTTGTTTCGTTATGAGTGTGGATTAATGCGCCAATTTTTAAAGTACTAAAGACATATTATTAAACTCTTGAATATTTCAATGATTAATACTTGAAATGGCACAAAAGTTAAACCATTCATGACAAAAAGTCAAAATATTGGGCAGATTAAATTACACCCTTGAGCAAACTAAATTCTCAATCAGGAGCATATACACTACCTTCAATTAGATTTATAAGTCATACTTAATTACTTTATCAAAATTGAAAAGATATAATTAAATTATTGATTATTGTCTTAAAAATTTTCAATTTTTTTATTAAATACATCATCTTTAAAAAAAATTTCTAAGTCATATAATTTTGAGAAATTCTTGCATTGATCTAATCCTGTCATTTATGCTTTATTTAATTTTATTAAATAAATTCAATCAAATAAAATCTTAAATGTCATTATTTTTAATAACCTTATTTTTAAAATAGAGTGCCTCTTTAATTTTTTTTATTTTTTTCTTTCTATAATTAAAAATAGAGTGCCTCTTTAATTTTTTTATTTTTTTTCTTTCTATAATTATTAATAGTATAATCAGTTATATTTATAACTATATGATATGATACTGTTTTATTGAATATGACATAAATGATGTGGTGCATTAGGTTTGTGTAAGAATTTTTTGTGTAACTTTTTACTTTCTATTCATTAAAAGTTATGGAAAAATAAAATTAAAACATAATTTTTTTAGAAAAATAATAGTTAAGTTTCTGATAAAAAATTTTTAAAAATAAGTTAAAAATATCAATTCAGATAATTATAAATTTAAGAGTTTCACTTATAAATATGTATTTAAGTATTAAATATAACTTTTACATTATAAACAATATTATTTATAATTTTTTTATAAAAAAAAAATTTTATCGAAAGCCCTTGGAATTTAACCATTATCACTCATTCTTTCTTTGTTTTTTTTTTTTTTTTGGGTGAAAAAACAGAGTAGATGTTACTTGTGTGTGTGTATGTATATTAATCCGAATCCACATAACACGTTTTCTCGTGTTGTACTAATGAAGAGAAGACCTAGCAAATTCAGGGAACGCGGCCACTCACTAAGCTTTGCAGCAGCCACCTTTGTAGAGATTGTCAATCTTCATCACAAATCACAAGCATCCCTCCATCGACTGAAAAGTCTCGTCCCCTGAAAAGGTTATTTTTGTTTTGTTTTCATTTCCGCTTCTCCAAGGGAAACCTTTTTTATGTTTTTTTTTTTTATTTTAAACTTTTTTCAACAGAATGGAATGCTGGAAATATTTGAAGGGTAAGGTTATACATGTCCCAATATGACATGATATTGTGCTATTATGTTGCTCTGGTTATTATTTGTTGTTTGCTATTGCTTGGCAGTTGTTCTGTTCGCGCATTAACAGGGAAAATTTTGAATGTTTAATGACTTGGACTGCATTAATGAGCAATATAGATCTTGTCGTCGAGTGTTATTACTGCTTTAAACTTCCACATGATGCGGGGAAATTGCGCAAGGGCTTTGAGTTATATTTTAACCATCATAATCATCATAAACAATGAAAGAACTTTCATTGAGATCCCATCTGATGGCAGTTGCGAATGCTTGAGGTTGGAATAAAGATTGAACTCCTGATCCCTATGATTTCACTAAATCTGTAATTTGGCTTTCCCCTGTTTATTCTTTGTATCTTGCGCCCTATAGTTACCAATGCATTGTCACATCAGGGGAAAAAAGTGGAGAAACCATTGTGCCACTTCTAATTCTATCCAAAATCCCAAATTTTACAGCATTTTATGGAACTAATGGCGGGGAGTGTATTGGGTCCAATTTACAAGAAAATAAAGTGTTGGAACCAAGTTAAAAATTTGGGGAACTATCAGGACAAAATGTTCAATGTAACCTATATTTGACAATGACATCAAACCTTAGCCTTGGCTGCAGATTTTCAATATAACTAGATCAATCCCTCTGCATGGCATGGAGCCCCAGGAGTAAGCCACATTATTTATGGTTTGTGATTAGTGCGACACGTTAGAGATTTATTAATATATATCTAGATATCTTTAAAAAAGAGTTCTTGGATGTGGTGTAGTTCTTCACAAAAATTTCCCTTTACATTGGATTTTTTTTTTTTTTTCATTTGGTTGTTTGAAAACCTTCAATATGCTGGTCGTTATCCAGTGTTATGGCTATGTTTGTTCTGAATGAATTTAAATGTTTAATGTTCATGTTTGCATTAATCAGGCTAGATGGATTCTGTTAATGAGTGGTATATCTGCTTTAAACTGCCAAATGATGCTGGGAGATTGCGCAAGGGCTTTGAGTTATATTTTACTATCATAGTCATTATAAACAATGAAAAAAGTTTCATTGACATCCCTTCTGATGGCAGTTTCATTGAGTGACTTTGGTTATAGTTTAGTATGATATCTAACACGAGCTTTGGCTGCAGGTTTTGAAAATAAAGAGTGGTCTGCTGTTCTATCAGGAGCGTTCTTAGTTGCTGTGTAGTACTTCGCAAGTTTTCATTCTTTTTATTACTTTTGTTGTATTTAAGGTATCCGTATTCTAGCTTGTTGTTTTGAATGCCTTCAACATGCAGGTTGTTGTCCATTGTTGTGGTTTGGCCATTGTGCATAGGTTCATTGTTTGATTGTATCATGTTATGATTGTCATTTGCCCTCGAAGCCCACTGTGTTTTTGTTTTTAGGATTTCTGTTTTCAGTTTAGAAATGACCTTTTATTTTTCTTTCTTGTGTTTGGAGAAAATTTCTTTTGACTTTTGTGTATTCTTCATTGTTAATGCTAAGCAGATTAAGGTGAAGATTTTTGAACCTTTTGATCACCTTGTGTTGATCACATTGCTAAGCAATATAGATTTAATTGGTGTTTCTGTGTGAAAGTGTTAATATGTCTAAATTATGTAGGCAATCCTGCATTTTAGGCCTTAACTTGAAGTTTTATGATAGTAAATGCTGTTTCATATGTAGACACCCATATAAAAAAAGCATTTAGACAACCTAATTCTGTGGTTTCACTCTTTCCTCTTCTTTTCTGTTGAAACTTGAAATTGCAGATTGAAAAAAATGAAGCATATTGTGAAGATTATAACATTATTAATGGCCATCACCACTGTATGGGTTGGCCTTTTGCAAACTTCTATGATTCCAAGCAGCCATACTTGGTCGTTGAGTGCTCATGTTTTTGTGTTTCTTTATCTTTTAGTGGAATTTATTCTGTGCAATACTTACAATGCCTTGTTTCCCCCCTTTATCCAGCTACTTGTTTATTGCATTGTGTCTTTAGGATGCTATGGCTTATTAATGGTTGGAGTAGGTCTCATGCAATTTCCTACCTGTCCTAGAGAGGCCCTGCTGTTGCAACAGGTATTCTTTTTTCATTCTTCATTGAAGATTTCTACATTAAGATTTAACTTAGCATGAGCCTTATGTATTTTGTATGAAATTTGAGAAATTAGCTACGTTGTTCTTGTCTGGTGAATGGTGTGGTTTTCTATAGATTTTATGTTATATGTTGATGTTGATGCTGAATATTGATATAGAGAATATTGGTATTTTTCTGTTTTTCTTATGTACAAATTGTGGCTACTGTTGAGGAAGAGCGTGCTGTAGAAGATGAGTTGGAACTTGGAAGAGACATTTAGAGACTAGTGAATTAGGGTGAAGGGAAAAATTGCAAATATAAAAATATTGCAGGGATAATTTGGGACTAAAATATGCATTCCAGGTAGGAGAGAGAGATTTCTCAGCTTCTTGGGAGGTGTCCTCTTAGGATAGGATTCTTCATGCATCGCACTGTAGCTTAAAGTTGAACCTGTTAATGCATAGAGATTCTGGCAGATAGTATTCAATGCTATGACTTAATATTAACAATACAGTATGTTTGCTTACTTTGTTTGTTATCAGGACGTTTTTATTTTTTTTGAATAATTTTCAGGACATTATTGAGGCCAAGGGCTATTTGAAGCAAAGAGGAATTGATGTCAGTGTCAGCTGAAGCAATGATCTCATGAACATGATGCAGCAAAATTATAATCTGTCTGATCACAATTATCTGATTGAGAATTCTCAACAGTATATTTATCTTGATAATTGTATTCTAATTTGATAATTTCTAAAGTGAAAATCTCAGAAAATTTCATTGATATTTCGACACCCTTTGAATGAATGGCCATAATTTAATTGGGCGGCTTAGACATTTCCAAGATCATCTAAAATAAAGAGACCAATGTCAATATCTATTTTTAATTAGATAAATGGACTCTGCATGGAAGCAGTAATCAAAGGCTAACCATGTTAATTCAATAATCAATAGCAAGATTATTACAATTTAGAAGACAAGTAGTCCAATTGTAAAAGACAAATCTTGACCTACAAGGCTTTATTCAAATCCCTAATTAAAATCCTAATTTACCACAATTGCTCCCTAAATACAAGACTTAACTCCCATGACCACGTTAAACAATCTTTGTCGTATGAACCTGGACAGTTGAAGCTAAATTGATCATGATGTATGAGTCAACAAACGACATATCACCGTATAAAATGCACCAAAGCTTCAGTTTTACCTTAATTGTAGGATCCAAATCTGGGTCTCCCTATACTCATCTCAGAATGGAGCTGGGCAAAACTTGAGCTTTCTATATCAAACCATCCAAGCTTTTCAATGAGTTTCTGAACTACTTCACCAGCTAAGTAAGAAAATATTGAAGCCGTTGCCCCAGTGCATAGATAGTAAAGCACCGTTTTGAGATATGTGAGATACTTGTCTTGGCCTCTGGATGTATGCTTTTGCAATGGAAAGAAGAGTGATGCATATTGCAGAAGCTCCTGCAACTGCTGCTAGCTTCAAATCCTTATTGTTGCTCTCATAGAATGTGAAGGCATATACCAGTGGTGGCACTAGCCCAAAAATGATGAATGATGATATGGTTATGCACGCATGAAGAAAGAAATTCTCTCTCTTCCCCAGGACCTCGTAATATCGATCCACACTTGCGTTTTCTTCATTGTTGGTTTTTGGTTGCTCAGATTTCAGGTCCCAGATCTGTCAACACTTGTAAGTTTCAAATTCAAGAAACATATTTATCTCTGTATGTGTTTGAGTGTGTTATGTTTTGATTATGTAACACTTGGTACCTCTCTCATTCCAAAAATTATACCTGGCTCTTTTGACATCTTAGAGAGGGGGGGGGGTGTCTCCAGAAGTACCTCAAATATACAGTCATATAGCTCCTAAATAAATGTATTATGCTATTAAACAAACAGAAAAGTGCCTGTGTTGGAAGAAACTCACATTATGAACGTGGATGAGAAGTCCACCAATCAGGTTTGCGAGAGACAGAACTAGAATGTTCACTGCAAATTCAAATTGGAAAATTCAAGGATATCATTAGAATATAATGATAGTGGACAAGCCATATTAGTTATTTAAGTATCTCTCTCTGTTTTTTTTTTTTTTGGGGGGGGGGGGGGTGTTGGTTAAAGTTAGTTGTTAGATAAGCCGTTCAAACCGCAACACACGATAGAAATCAAAGTGAAGAAGACCCTTTGATTGATGCAGCTGAATTCCACCACTTGGATCAACCCTTGTTGAAAGATATTTTAGTCTTCTAGGATTTTAATTATTTTAACCAGAACATTGATTCAGTAGTCTTGTTGAATGATGATGTTAGAAGCAAAAGTCGAGCAAGTAATGAAGCTTGAGGTAAGATTAAGTCTTACATGTGGTAGCATCTGAACTTGCTGAAGATGTCACAATGCTCAGGCTTGCTATATATTCAACCAGACCACCATATTCAATGCTTTTCAGAATTTCCCATGTTCTACTACTTCCTGATACATGAATAACACCTGTTTGTGTCGTCGTAGGTAATGTTGTGCTTGGTGGAACCGCTGTTCAACGAACACACCACATCATTTCATTGCCAATATGTTAATAAGTGCATGATAGTGATAATAAGATACGACTGTTGGATTGAATTGTGAAAAAGGTCAAAACAACAGACAGATGCCAAACAGAAGTATCTACTGCTAAGAAGAATAAGTATTTATTTGGTTTTTAGTTTGTCAAAAGTTCATTTGATGAAAGTTCTATTAAGCAAAAATCAATTTAGTGAAAGTTAGTTGTTATAACAAAATTTATATTTGGATATATTTTTCAAAAATTAGTTTAGTACACTGAAATTTATTTGAATTATGATAGTAAAATGTGCTTTTAAATGTACAATTATTAAAAAGACATTGATTTATGATGATTTATAATTTTTATTGTACAAATGTAACATATTTGTAATATTTAAAAAATGTCATAAATATTTTAAATAACATAAAATTTAATCTATAAAGCTAAAAACTTGACTTTTAGTTATTTGTACTTTTTTAATTTGTAATTTTAGAAAATATGATAAAGCTTTATAATTTTTATTATACATTAATGCTAAAAATTAATATAATTAATTATTAATTTATAATGCTAAAAACTTGACACCTATTATTATGAAATGATAATTATATTTTTAATGAATTAATTATTTTTTAAATAAAAGAATAAAAGATTAAATTTGGGATAGTATGGTCAAATAATATCCTATTTTTTAAAAGCTTCAAATAATTATATTTTGCAAATTTACTTTTAGCCACTATTTAAATGTGCTTTCAGGATATGTTTTTTTATAAATATTTTACTCAAACAACTTACAACATTCTAAAAATGAAATTATATTTTTGAATGTGAAACGCAACAATCCCAACAGCCCAATCTTTTCCTGCACTTTAAGCAACTAATATAAACCACGTTTCTTCCTACTTTTGAAATTTTCTTCTTCCCCGCCTTATTCTTCTTGAACTATAGTTAACATGGTGAATTCCAAACGTACAAGGTGTCAAAATGTTTTTCATTTTTTTATGTCCTCATAATATGACAATCATTCCCAGTGTGCTTAATAGGGATATATCATGATATCAACTCATAAGATAGATTTCTCTGGCTGGTGGAATTCTAGCAAGACTATAACGCAAATGATTCATTCGTTTTTACTTCCATGAAAATAAATGTAATTTTTTCTACAAACCTGCGCTGCTTCCTTCATCAACTTTAACCTCTTCAAGCTCCGGTGGTTGTTCTGATTTTTCTGAAGTATCAATTTTAGTTTTACTCAGAATGGCAACGGCTGAAGCGCTAGCCAAAGCTCCCCAACATGAATGTTTCTTCCTTGGTCCATCCTGGTCATGTTCATCTTGTGGGATTTTACTGGAGAGATTTGAAGAATCTGGCAATTTGATATTATACTTGAGATTACTTCCTAGGTATGAAGATCCATATGAGAAATAGTCTATGATTCATAGAAGACTTGTGATTATGTGGGATATAATTTTGGGAAAAATCGAATAAAAAACAACGACTAGCAAAGAGAAGAGTGCCGTAGAAAACAAGAAAGACTACTAGTTCCCTGTGAATACAGAATTATTTCCTAGGTATATTCCTACTTGTCACGTTTAACAAAATTCTTCGGTAACAAAGTTCATGAACATTATACGACCAGGATTTAGTCTTCACAATCTGACATGTCGGTCCCACCCACATGTGAAGATTGAGTTCTTTCTGATCATTGCATGCACATTCATTTTATAGTACTTAATATTGTCTTCAGGTTAAACTCAGTAAACTATCTCTGGATTTAACCAAAACAATTGAATAGGAAAAAAGAAATGCGGACCTTGGTTTTATGATCTTCTTCATTGGGCGCTTTGTCTATTTCATCATTCATCACTATTCAGGCTGCAAGATTTGTTTTCCTGAATCAGCTGCAGTGTTAGCTTGATCAGGGGCTTGAATTGTAACTGCTGGTGTAGCTTGAGGTCTTTCATCATTAAGTTCTTTCAATGGCAAATGGAGGCAAAAATAAGTTTATATGTAAATTGCCCAGTGAATTAGATGCATTCAGGAAATACTTCACCTTGAATAGTTGGTGCTTCATTATCATGCACCCACCCAGGGAAGAGCCTACTACCTGTTGATAAACGTAGAAGACTTTTAACTCAATCCATATTGAATAGCATAAGAGTGATGAGCATCTTACTGTATTCAATCTAGTAGCAAATGGCTACTTGACAGCCTAAAAGGATGGCATGTTACACACACGCGCGCGCGTGTGTGCGCAATTATCTGAATTTTGTACAGTGAAACCATATTTTACCTATTGGGATGAGGAAGCTGAAGCATGATGAGCATCTGAATGTGTCAGCTGGTGGAGGAGGCTGTGTGGGAACTATAGTTTCTTCCCTAACAGGATCCAAAAGCAAGACCTTCTGGATACAAGCCTTACAATTGGGACAATAGAATCCCTGTGTAGGTGGCTTCTGATATAGACTTTCCAATATAGTTCCTTCACTTGCTGCACATGCTCTGTTATTTTTCCTACTCTCTCAGTTTCAGTTGTCACATTGTCAAGAGAAGTAGAGTCCACAGAAGAAATACAGGCTCGGAAGGACTTATAGTTGTGTTCTTCTCAATGTCACCAGAATTCACTTCTGTTTGAGAGAACTCTTGTTCTCCATTCAGTCTATTGCTCACCCAAGAAGACCCATTTGTTTGGTCAGTAGCTGAAACCATGCATTAGATGAATGTTACTATCAGAAATTGAGGAACCAAATGTTGCATGTAAACTGATTTTTTTCTTTGTGTTGTTTGGGGCAAAAAAAAAAACACTAAAACTAAACCTGTTGCACCTGCAAGGTTGCGAACATGAAGCAGAAGAAACAAGAGTCTGAAATTATGAAAACTTATTCACTCTCACAAGCATTAAGTATTAGATATAAAGTGTTTGGATTGTTGCTTGTGTGAAAGAAATGCTAAATATGTTGATTTATACGCACCTTGTGTTTCAAGTTCAACAATTGCAGTAGTGGTGGTGGTGATGTGCATGTGGGCCTGCCATTCTATCAAACCTCCTCCTTCAATCTCATCCTTCTCCTCTTTCTTTTTCTGTTTTTGTTGATTCATTACGCCTTCCATTCTTCACTTTTCAGTCTTCACATTCTCAAGCAAGACAGTAGTGTTTTTTTTTTCTTGGCCAAAGAAAGCGAAAGAGAAGTTTAGCATAAGAGCAATGCTTCAAAGTCGATTTATGAGGATGCTCGGTTCAATTGACAAGAAAATTGTACCAACTTAATTAAAGATCTTGAATTTAATCTTGAGAACGTAAGAACATTAGTGGTGGAGCTATTTTATCAAAAGGGTTCAACTTAACTTGATCTGGATTAGTCTAAACCCCTATTAAGTTCTCTCAACTCAATATCGGGCAAGCCCAAAATATTGGATGTTTAATGTAAACACAAGTCTATTTATAATGGGGAGGAATATAGTCCACACTAACTCAGAAATCTTTTTCGTAGGGGGGAAAATTGTGAGGGATGGGAGAGCTGAAAAAAATCATAAATGTGGAGTTTATAAAATGGACAAGGAGCCGAACTGTAAAATGGTATGTTAGGAATAAGCTAATTCATGAGAATGGAAAGGAAAGATGATAAAATGAGTGTAATGCCAAGTTTGGTATAAGCTACGAAGGTGCTTAATTCACCTCCCTTTCCTTTTCTTTGAAATTTGGCTCAAATCATTCCATCATTAATGACATGGAAACTGATGAAAATGACTTATTTATCCCCATTTTTTTATAATTTATTCCATCAAAAAATATAATGATAATTTTTTAAATTGTTATTATATCTTTTCTATAGTATCATATTAACAAAAATATTTTTACTTTATTTTAAACAAACAAACAAGAATTTAAGTAATGTTCTTCATTTTTATTCTTTTATTATTCCAACCCTCAATATTATAAAATGAGTTGACTAACAAATGCATGCAGCACTGAACGTTATGAATTTTCAATTCTATATGTAAAATTAGATCTGGATTGGTGTATTGTACTGACTACTGAGATTGAGAAATGAATTATAATAATGTTCATAACTTATGAATAATATGGATTTCAATCAATTTTATAAATGCACTTTATTTTTTAGGGCGAGGTATAATAATGAGAGGAAGGAGAGTAACATTTTTTTACATATTATTTTTTAAATTTATAAGAACTCTTTTGGACCACAATTTATAATAACTTGGCGACAGAAAATTGTAGAATGAAAATAAATGAACAAAAGAAATTGTTCGATAACGACTAAAACTAATAATATTCGTGCGCCCGCTCATATACACTAATTGTTCCTTTTTTTTTTTTTGGGGGGGCGAACACTATATTGTTCTTAACTAGCAGCAAACTCTATGCGTTGCATAGGTTATCAACGTATCAGAAAAATATTAATTTTACAATAAATAATAAGATTTAAAAGAAAATAGTAACATGAATTGGTCAGGATATAATTTTTTTTAAAACCAATAATTGTTAAATAAGTGAGACGAGTTTTCATAACAATATATTCTACAGGGAAATCAAAATCGGAAATTTTTATTACATTGTGTGACAATAATGTGAAAAAAGGTTTAAAATTTTTGGTATACCTATTATTCATGGCCTAAACCATAATGAATAATTTACTAACGAATAATAATAGTTAATGAGTGAAAGCGACACAACTTTTGATAATATCTAAATAGATGATTTTCTACTTTTCTTATAGAAGAAAATAAGCAAAACAAGTTGAAAGTTGAAACCAATTTCTATCAACAATTATGACGTCAATAAAAAGAGCATTTCAAAATACACGTATGTCATTAGTTTCATGTTGAACGACTGAATATTTTAATTTTCAAGTGCAATTCATAACATTTTTTTTATCAATTATAATCCGTTACACACATTAAATTGTAACTCATTTGTGCATAATTCAATTTTCACATTTTCAAGAAATCCGTTGAAATTCAATGAAAAATAATGTCTAATTCATCCATTTTTCAATAATTCCATACCATTGTAATTTCTAACACTGCCACATCAACTGTCCTACACAGTTTAAAAGCCAAACTGGATGTTAAATTAAAAAGACCAACGAATTTAAGATTTTATAGTCCAATCGAATCAAACGGGTAAAGGAAAAAAGGAACAAAATTCTCAAGGATTATATGTAATTCAATATGCAATAATCAATAGCAGCAATTAGAAGACAAGAACTAGTAGTTTGGCTCCAGGTCAAAACTTTAAAAGATAAATTTTAGACTATAAGGCTTTATTCAAAGCCCTAATTAAATCCTAAGTGACCATATTGCCCCTCAAATTACCAATCCTGATTCCCAGATAATGACAACCTTGTTACAGAACTGAAAAAATAATAAACATCTCTTCTCATGCCATAATACACAACCTTTAGCATAGAGTCCATTGATACTTGAAAATCAGAATACAATTATTTTTGACAGATAATCCAACATAGCACTCTCCAAAATGTAGTTAAGCACTTAGATTTTATTCTTACTAGTAAGATCCAAATCTGGGTTTGTCCACACTCATCTCAGGAAGGAGAAGGGTAAGATTTGAGTTTTGTGTGTTAAACCATCCAAGCTTTTCAATAAGTTCCTTGACTAGTTCACCAGCTAAGTAAGAAACTACTGAAGTCATAGCCCCAGTGCTGAGATAGTAAAGCACCGTTTTGAGATATATGAGATAAGTATTTGGCCTCTGGACGTATGCTTTTGTAATTGACAGAAGAGCGATGCATATTGCAGAAGCTCCCGCAACTGCTGCCAGCTTCAGATCCTTATTGCTGCTCTCAGAGAATGTGAAGGCATATACCAGGGGTGGTACTAACCCAAATATGATGAATGATAATATGGCTATGCACAGATGAAGATAGAAATTTTCTCTCTTCCCCAAGACCTCATAATATCGATCCACACTTGCATTCGTTTGATTGTTGGTTCTTGGTTGCTCAGATTTCAGGTCCCAGATCTGTCAATGCAAGTATAGTTTCAAATTTAAGAAATATATATGTTGTGTCACTAACTTCCCTGAGTTTTAGTTAAGTAATACTTAGTACCACTCATTTGAAAAGTTAAACAAACAGAAAGAAATGTTTGAAGAAACTCACATGATGAACGAGGATGAAAAGTCCACCCATCAGGTTTGCAAGAGACAGAACTAGAATGTTCACTGCAAATTTAAATTGGTGAATTCGAGAATATCATTAGGTCAATGAATTTGCCAGCTCTAAAAGTTTCTTGTGGAAGTAATAGGCAAGTTCAAATCTAATACCTGCAACTTTGTTATAGGTATGTGTAGAACTCTTTAGGAATTGTTTACTATGCCATCAGAATTATGAGAAATGGTCATTTGTAGGTCAAATCTGTGTTTTAATCCTTCAAGTTTATTTCTTATTTCAATTTAGCACCCTTAGTTTGCTTTGTGCTGAACTGATTTAACTCTAATCCTTATAAGCATCCTAACTATCATCTCAACTTAAACATTGATTTAGCACCTTTTGTTATGTTGACCTAGTTGTTATTGATTTAAAAAAAAAAAAATTGGTTGTTAGAGATGACAGTTCAAGATTCATATGATACAAGTTAAAATTTAAATGATAAATTTGGTAGCAAGCAATTTAAAGAACCATCTTAAAACATTACATAAAATTATGAGACTGAAGTACCCAGATAACCAAAAAGGTAACAATAGTCAATTTCACGATATTATGCATGAATTTTCTTACTAATATCAAGTGATGACGCCTGCTGATAAACCAAACTGTCATCTTTAGTACCCTTAAAAAGTTAGTTGTTTCATAAGTTGTCGAAACCCCCAGGTAGGGCAGAAATCAAAGTGACGACACTTTTGTGGATGCAGCTATATTCTACCAATTAAGCCAACCTTTGTTTACTTTGGCCTTCTACGGATGTTTAATTGTTGTAAACAGAACACTGGTTCAGTAGCCTTATTGAACGATGACTTTAGAAGGAAAAGGAGAGCAAAGAAATGAAGCTTGAGGTAATATTAAGTCTTACATGTGGTAGCATCTGAACTTGCTGAAGATGTCACAATGCCAAGGCTTGCTATGGATTCAATCAGACCACCATACACAATGCTTTTCAGAATTTCCCATGTTGTACTGCTTCCTGGTTCTCGAACTACACCTGTTTGTGTTGTACTATCTAATGTTGTGCTTGGAGGAGCTTCTGTTCAACGAATATACGAAGTCATTTCATTGCAATGCATCATTGGGCATAATTCTTAAGTTGTAAAACAGTCTTCATAAGATATGATTTCAGGATTGAATTATGAAAAGGGCCAAAACAAATGACAGATGCCAAACAGAAGAATCCACTTATAACAGGAAGAAATCCTTTCTTGCACTTTAAGCAACTGATATGAACCTATTTTATTTCTATTTTGATTTTTCTTCTTCCCCTACTTATTCATTTTGAGCTATAGCTAACGCGGTGGATTCCATATATTTAAGGTGTCCAAATGATTTTTTGATCTCCTCAGAGTATGAAAATTGTTCCAAGTAAAATGTGCTTAAACTATGTTCAGTTTATCTTCAATTATAGAGTAAAATACGATTAAAATATAGTTCTTCAATTGGAACAATTCCATATATATGTGCGCGTTATAATTGTGTATCACTAAGCAAATAACTGTAAGCAGCTGCACTACATGATCAAAATACACTGTTGGTAATCTTCATAGCTTAGAAGACATAATATATCATGTTGTTCCTCCAATATATCATAGCCAGCATGAAATTAATTTATATTCAATCATATATTGTGTTATAATTTTTGATATTGGATTTGTCAATACACAACTTGATTCTACTAATAGAAAAAAAAAATGGAAGAAACACATCTATGATTAAGTTCTATGTGGAGAATATTGATAGTCAATCTTCTTGTATATTTTCTTCAATATTATCTGCTAAATGAACCGCTATGATCTTTAACATGGAGACTCAAGTATAGGAATATATATCATAATATTAACCCATAGGATCAATTCACCAGCTGGTGAGGATTCCTGCGAAACTAAAATGCCAAATGATTTATCAATATTTTACTTTCATGGAAAAAAAATATTATTTATTCTACAAACCTGTGCTTCCTTCATCAACTATAACCCCTTCAAGCCGCAGTGGTCGTTCTGATTTTTCTGAATCATCAATTTTATCTTTTTTCAGTGTAGAAAGGGATGAAGCACCAACCATAAATCCCCAAAGTGAAATTTTTTTCCTGATCCATCTCGACCATGTTCATCTTGTGGGGTTTCACTGGAGAGATTTGACGAATCTGGCAATTTGATATTACATTCAAGATTACTTCCAAGATATGCAGATCTTATGAAAAATAGTCTATAATTGATAGAATATTTGTGATCATGTGGATGTAATTTTGGGGGAAAATGGAATAAAAAGCAATGACCTGCTATGAGAAGTGTATTGTAGAAAACAATAAAGACTTTACTACTAGTTCTTTATGAATAGAGACGCTAAACTCTGCTGCTAACTGTCTAAATTTAACCAAAAATAATTAAATAAGAAAAAGGACTTCCCTTACCTCTGGTTTTATGATCTTCTTCATTGGATGCTTTAGCTGTTCCATCATTCTTCGCTTGTTCGGGCTGCAAATTTTGTTTTCCTGAATCAGCTTCAGTCTTAAATTGATCGGGCGCTTGAACTGTAATTTGTGGTGTCTCAGGGGTTTGAACTGTAATTTGAGGTGTCTCAGGGGCTTGAACTGTAATTTTTGTTGTAGCTCTAGTTCTTTCAACACTAAGTTTTTCCTGTGAGTGATCTGGTCGCTGTTGCACCCCTGCATTGATTTCAATGGCAAAGGTAGAGAATAATATTTCATATTTGCATCAGGGAGATGTAATAAGTAGTAGATACTGTTACAAAAATCATCATACAGGAAGGTGACCATCCTTTAACCTCAATTCAAATTATACGTTAGCATTAATGGATTGAAAAATAGAAGACCTCATGACAGGATCAAGTTATTTAATATTTAATTACTGTTTGAGAGTTGAATGATGGTAATTATCTTGTAAGGACTAAAGTTGGAACGTATTTGTCCTTCAGAACCTAAATGAGAGTTTGCTCTGATTCCTTGATGAAGCTAACATTGGTGGAAACTAGGTATACAACTTGTTATCATATGTTAAACTTCAGTTGAGGTAATAAAATCACATTTCATGTTTGTAAACATATATCTTATAAATTGTTATGTTGCCTAATTCTAACATTCCAAAATCCATGGACACCCCATCAGGCATCAACACTATTCAGACGGCAAGCTTATTCAAGAAATCAAATAAGTGTGTGTATATAAATCACCTCGAATAGTTGATACTTCATTGTCTTGTACCAACCCAGGAAAGAGCCAACTACCTGTTGAAAAAGATATATGAATTTTAACTTCAAGTCAAATTGAATGAAATGATGAGCATCTGACTTTATTCAATCTAATAGCAAACAAAGAATTACTTGATAGTCTGAAGGGATAGCACATGTGTATCCTATTATATATATATGTATCTGTATGTATGTATATGTATATGTATGTATGCAATTATCTGAATTTTGTAGAGTGAAACCATATTTTACCTATTGGGATGAGGAAGCTGAAGCAAGTTGAGCATCTGAATCTATCCAATGGTGGTGGAGGAGGTTGTGCAGGAACACTTGTTTCTTCCCTCACTGTATCCAAAAGTAAGACCTTCTGGATACAAGCCTTACAATTGGGACAATAGAATCCTTGTGTTGGTGTCTTCTGATATAGACTTTCCAAATGTAGTTCCTTCACTAGCTGCAAATTGTCTGTTATTATGCCAACTCTCTCACTTTCAGTTCTCACATTGCTGAGAGAAGTAGAATCCGCAGAAATTATGGGATCTGAAGGATGTAAAGTTATGTCCTTCTTGATGTCACCGGAATTCACTTCTGTTTGATAGATTTCTTGCTCTCCATTCAGTCCAGAAGACTCATTTGTTTTCTTAGTAGCTGAAACCATGCATTAGATGAAGGCTGCTGAGCACATATTAGAAAATGAGGAAATGCGCCTTACTTGGAACAATGTCTCAACTATTTGGTTCATAAATGTTACAAATTCTCCATTTAATCTATGAAACTGTGTATATCACCTAGAAAAATCTATGAAAAATGCATGCTTCATGTGCTCATTTCGTCCTAGAATGTGAAAACAATATTCAGATAATAGTTTTTGGATCAAGCATGGTTAAAGGAAGAGCAAGAACAAGTTGCAGAAGCCCTCATAACTTGGAAAAATCAAGCTCACAGACCTTCTCCGCCATAATAAAGATCATATACCAAATGTTGCAGATAAATTGATTTACTTTTTGCTATTGTGTGGAACAAACAGGTAAATCTGTTATTGCTGGAGGATTATAAACAAGAACAAGCAGAAGAAACACAGTGACTGAAACTACAAAACTTAAAGCTCAAGAAGGCAAATTTAGACTTGTATTCAGAATATCACAACCATTGATTATTGACATGAAGTTTTGAAATTTTTGCTTGTGTCAAAGGGACTACTAAATATGTTGAACGTAACGTACCCTGTATATCAATGCTTGAAGTAGTAATGGTGGTGACATGCATGTGAGCTTGGTGTCTAACTAAGCCAACTTCTTCAACCTCTGCTTCCTCCTCCTCCTCCTTCCATTGCTTCATTACTTCTTCCATTCTTCACTGCACAAAACAAAAGCAAAGTTCAGCACAGAAGTAACAAGTTAAGGTCAATTTATAAATGGGAATGCAATGTAGTCGATATTACTCAGTCAGATTTTTTTTTTAAGAAAAAAAAATTATTGTGTCGAGTGGGAGGTACTGAACAAGTTTAGAATTATAAATGTGAAATGTGAAAATAGCACGAGAGAAGTTCAAGTAACTGTAAAAAATGCTTCAGGGAAACAAAGGGAAGAAGTGGGCCCATATGAGACTGTGCAATTGACAAATTCAAAGAATTTCATGTTACATATTTTAAATTGGTTATGGATTTCATTTTGATGTATTATATGATTAAATGGTTAATTACAGGAAAATGTGCATTTGAGGGTCAAATATGGAACAAATGTTTGATTTTGGCATGGAAAAATTAATGGGTTCTGACTTTATTTCTTATACGTTTGGTGAATTTATGAGTGTACAATGTTTATAGGAGTTTTAAAGAAAAATGAATGGGGTCAAAAATGTCTTTTGGAAGATCAACATAATAAAAATATATTTTGAGCTGGATCGACTTTGTTGCCATGTTCACAACAGATGTATTGTTAGCTGTGTGTTGGTTAAGCTCTTTTATTCCTTTAATATTATATATTTTTTTAGTTGATTGTGTTCTATGTAATATTGGATTTGTGCCCACTTGTTTAGGATTCACTTGAGATTTAGAATAGACCTTGAATTGAGTTGTCAGGTTTGAGTATTTGAACATTGAAACACTTTATTTACTTGTATAATAGGAATATATTTATTGGCCTAACATAATTGTAGTAGGCTTGAACTAGAGTAGTTCAATAATTTTTTATCATCTAAAAAGTTAGGAATCATTAACCAAAATGCCTATTGTTAGATTGATAGAAGATGTTGTTAGGTCGTTGAGAGCCTTGGACTAGCATCCTATAAGCATTAAATACAATCAAGAGAAAGTAGCCTTATGCTAAGATTAGGTGTCACTAGTTGTCCTAAGGAAATTAGGGTTATTGATTTTAATTCATATTAATAATCATAGAGTTTGTTTAAATTTAATTAGATATAATTAATTATAAAAATAATTAATTAATATGATTTATTTTGATTATAATTGATTATATTAGAATGCAATCTATTTAGATATTATTTTTCTAAAATTAATTTTAACAGAATTAAAAATATTTAAATGATTTAGTCAAAATTAATTTTAACTGTACAAATTACTTTAGACATTCACAACTTTTTTTCACTATTTTTCTTCACTTTTTTAAAGTAAAAAATATTTTTATCATTTTGTTAAAAACTTTGATGACAATTAAATCTTTTGAGACTTAAAAGGCGTCATCATATTTTGTAAAATTAAATTATCATTTCTCTATTTTAAAGGAATTTATTTGTTATTTTTCCAAAAAATAATTCATTATGTTCATTTGTTGAAGATTTTAATATTAATATATCTGCACAACGTGAAGTGCACAATTACTTTTTCTTATAGTTTACTGTTTCTTTTCTTCAATTCTGCCCAAAACTCATGAACAAAAGTTGGCAGGAGAAGCTTATTAAAAGTCGTGATTCTTGTCCAAATAATCGATTAAGTACAAAATGAGCTGTTTGGATAATTATCTTTAAAATCGATTATTCTGCCTAAAAAATTGATTGTTCCTCCAATCCAAACACTATATAAACCGCCTGTTTGGGAAGATATTATAATTGATTTTGGAAGCCAAATAATCACTTTTTTAAGATAAATACACAAATAGTTAAAAAAAAAGTTGATAATTGTGCTAGAAATTATACCTGAAGGTCAATCATTATAATAGTACATTATTATTTAACAAATTTTTTATTATTATCATATTAATTGTATGTTTACTGTAATAACTGTATTCTTTGACAAACTATAGTGATTATTCTAAATATTCCTAGTCAGTCATTTATCAGGGATCATAGATGAAACAAGACTAGTGTAACTTTGATTAATTATAGAGATATAAATCAAAATCATAGGCACTTGAAAGAGTACAAAGTGCTGGACTGACCCGCTATGAGAAAGCTGTATGATACAAGTTATAAGCTTATCTCATATGTAACCATATTACTAAGCCCTCTGACCTAAGATCATCATGGATTCTTACATGATGATCACTAAACTTTAACCTAGTCAAAAGTCACCTTTGATCGGGTAATCATAAAGACTATGATTTAGTTTAGTAATATTCATATAGAAAATATGAGTGGTCAAGATGTAATTTGCTTCTCACATTAAGTGAGAGGTATTATTGGGCTCCTCGATGAGTAAGACTGAGAAAATATATGGCCATACTATAATGAAAAAGGTTTTTTATAACACCCTAAAATTTTCAAACCAATTTTTTCATAATTATTAATTCAATAAATTATTTTTACATCATTGAATTCTTATCATGGTAGAAAAAATTTCTACCATGATAATAAATAACAAAACTTCTTTTAAAACTCTACTATGATAAAAAAAGAGTTTATCAAATAAATAAAATAGTTTACAAATAGCCTACCATAATAGAAAAAATTTAACACAATGAATAAGCTCTACCATGATAATTAAAAATACATTTATAATAAAATTTACATAATGAAAAATAATGTAAAACAATTCATATCAAAGAAAATAATTTTTAAATCAGTATTTGGTGTAGAAGCCTATCTTAAGGTAGCAGAATTCCAAACAATTCATAAATATAATTTTTGATGTTATTATGTGACCCAAGTGTATATCCAAAATAATGTACCACAAGTCTTGTTTAAGTACTAAGTACTAACACTTCTTAAAGAATACTGGTTCAATAATATCCAAAATGGGTCTGCATAACATTCACCATAGTCCAACACTTATCCTTCACAAAATATAATTATAAAATATACACTTGTTCATATTATAAATACCTTTTTACTCAATACTCAATGCTTCCAAGTAAATTTTGTTATGTTATTAATATCCCA